CTAATATGTGCTTAAACGGAAATGTCTTGCCAATTTACTGCAATATATCCTCCTGGGAACCGAGGAAAAAAATTGTCTTCCAATATGCCATCCATTTTTTATGAAAACGAAGAGGAAGTTGCCAGCATCCCAGCCGATCATATGACATATCACTGGAAAGCCCAGGATGTCCTCAATACAATATAGCAGGTATTGATAGAGTAACTCAAAAGAATAAAATGAGATACACGTGAACGAAATGTCCAGTACAGAGGACACAGGTTAATGGGCTGGGTCTCAGGTGGATATAGGTATAGCAAGTGTTTTTTTAAACAATCTATATATTTTATTTTTTAAAACATTCACAGGGTTATTCTCTAACATGATAATTCAAAGTGAATTTCAGATTTAAAGTCAAATCTGTGAACCATACATATACTCTAATTAAGCTACATTTACAGTTCATCTACTTTGGCCTTACATTTGAAATTCACTTTAAATTCTCATTTTAGTTAATAACACTGTCAGTCACTTGCAGTTCCTGCTGCTGCTGCGTCTAATCACCAAGCAAAAAGCAGCAACATGGAGCTTCTTCCAAACTGGAACCTCGTGTTCTTGTCTAAGGGGAATTGATCTTATCCCAAATTCCCTTATCCTGAATAATAGGGATTTATAGGTTAAAACCAAACACCATTCCAAATTGTTAAAATAACACAACTTTCCTGGCCCAGACCGGAGGGGACCTGGTGCGGCTTATTTAATATTCCTTTTTATTTTATAAGAAAATCACGGCTGACTTTATTCTAGTTTTGTTGATAACTGGGATTAACTTGTCAGCAATCACTGATTATCTGTGAATCCCCCTGATGTGAAGACAGTTTCTCTGTTTGTATGAGCATTTCCGGTAATCAAATGCAAAGAAAAAATAAAAAAATAAACAGCTCTGCTTTTCTGTTAATGAGCCATTTGTTTTGCTTACCAAATTTCTTATTCATATCAGTTGCATGCCTTTATCTACCATCTGATTGCCTGCAGTAGACTGATGTGCCCTATAATCTACCTTTTAGCAGCAACCTTTAACTCTCCAGAGTCCATGTCCCTCTAACCACAATCTAACACTCCACTTTGGTCTAAAGGACATGATTTAACTGTTAACGTTAAGTTGAATAATTCTACGTTTTTGTTTTAATTGTATGACCGCTAAGCCAGGATACACTTTTCAGTAACCTACCTGACTTTGTTCCTGATACGGATCATGTGATGTTAAATGTCCCACCCACCTTTTACCCAGCATGGAATGGTAGTTCCCAACGCATTCCACAAGGCACCAAATGAACAGGCTTGGCCAGTGCCCCCACTGAAACAGCATTTAGAAACACCTACATCCTGGAGTATTGGTGTGGACTGCAAACCATTGCCACAGAGTACAGTTTGCTTTTCTTTAAATTTGTTTGTGAGGTCAAGTGCATTAGGAGATTAAATATCATTGGCTCTTTATGTATTATTTTTCTATAGTTTTTATTAAAGGATAATTATGGTTTACAGGGTGTGGCCAGTCACTGAGAACAAGAACAAATATTTCACTGTTTATATCACTTTCAGACTGGTGGGCCCTCAACATTGCGCTAACTGGGTCCATCAATGAAGTGCAGCCTCCATCCTGTCCATAAACCTCCAACACCTCCCAAATTTACACAATGCACCTGCAGGACACATTGTTAAAGGAAACGTTCCTCTGCCCAACCTTCCTATTCTGCCCCTGTAATTCTACTTATTTAGGTGGTGGTTTCACATTTTGGTGCCTCTTAGTAATAGTCGCTGGTGCCTGATCTATATGTGTTGGAGGACTTACTGTGTGTATGGTCTCTATGGTGCTGGGGAGGAACTATGTGATCTTGTCTTTCTGATCTTCCTCTCTCTCTTGCCCTGCAGCCATTTTTGCCTTTTCTTGCTAAATTTCAACACCATCATTCATGTTTGCAGTGACAATGAAGCTGTCTGGTTGCGGTGCTTTATATCCTTCTTTATGAGACCCATGTGATTTTGCAAGGCCATCTCATGGCCATTTCATATTTTCCTTTATAAGACCAATGTCATCTTGCAAGGCCATTTCATATTCTCCTTTATAAGACCAATGTCATTTTGCATGGCCATCTCATGGCCATTTCATATTCTCCTTTATAAGACCAATGTCATTTTGCAAGGCCATCTCATGGCCATTTCATATTCTCCTTTATAAGACCAATGTCATTTTGCATGGCCATCTCATGGCCATTTCATATTCTCCTTTATAAGACCAATGTCATTTTGCATGGCCATCTCATGGCCATTTCATATTCTCCTTTATAAGACCAATGTCATTTTGCAAGGCCATCTCATGGCCATTTCATATTCTCCTTTATAAGACCAATGTCATTTTGCAAGGCCATCTCATGGCCATTTCATATTCTCCTTTATAAGACCAATGTCATTTTGCATTGCCATCTCATGGCCATTTCATATTCTCCTTTATAAGACCAATGTCATTTTGCATGGCCATCTCATGGCCATTTCATATTCTCCTTTATAAGACCAATGTCATTTTGCAAGGCCATCTCATGGCCATTTCATATTCTCCTTTATAAGACCAATGTCATTTTGCAAGGCCATCTCATGGCCATTTCATATTCTCCTTTATATGTCAGACCATCTCATGTCATATTTATGACCAATGTCATTTTGCATGGCCATCTCATGGCCATTTCATATTCTCCTTTATAAGACCAATGTCATTTTGCATGGCCATCTCATGGCCATTTCATATTCTCCTTTATAAGACCAATGTCATTTTGCAAGGCCATCTCATGGCCATTTCATATTCTCCTTTATAAGACCAATGTCATTTTGGAAGGCCATCTCTTGGCCATTTCATATTCTCCTTTATAAGACCAATGTCATTTTGCATGGCCATCTCATGGCCATTTCATATTCTCCTTTATAAGACCAATGTCATTTTGGAAGGCCATCTCATGGCCATTTCATATTCTCCTTTATAAGACCAATGTCATTTTGCAAGGCCATCTCATACTCTTCTTTATGAGACCCATGTCATTTTGCAAGGCCATCTATGTCGTTCTTGGATCCTGCATTACTGATCACGTGATAATGACGCAATACAATGCTTGCCACCTTAGACATAGTTGTGTCACAGTCGAAAAAATAAAATACATCTGGGAAAGGACTAGGTAAATATGACTCTCCCTATATGTTTATTATTATTTTTATTATTAGTGGACCCTGTGATACTTATACACACAGCAAAACTATAGGCTATTGCTGCGAAGCACGCAAAAAGGAGCAGTGTAAAAGTGGAGCAGTTTCCATGAAAATCACCAGAATCTGCTCATTGCTCCTGTCCATTACTTTGTTCTAGAATTTCTCTATAGACAGACTATTGTTAAGGAGGTGATCCTATTTGCATGAGCCAGCCGAGCTTTTGGCTCACAATACCCCTTGCCAATGTAACTGGACTTGCCCCATACTCCATTATTTGACCCAGAGAGATTGTGAGTTAAAGGAACACTATAGTCACCTAAACAACTTTAGCTTGATGAAGCAGTTTTAGTGTATAGATCATGCTTCTCAGGTTTCACTGCTCACTTCAGTGCCATTTAGGAGTTAAATCACGTTGTTTCTGTTTATGCAGCCCTTGTCACACAGATTTAGTTTACCTTAAACAATTTTATCTCTTGCTCTGTAAATTGAACTTTAATCACATACAGGAGGCTCTTGCAGGGTCTAGCAAGCTATTAACATAGCAGGGTATAAGGAAATCTAAATTAAACAGAACTTGCTATAAAGGAAGGATAAATTGTAGATGACTCTTTACAGGAAGTGTTTATGAAGGCTGTGCAAGTCACATGCAGGGAGGTGTGACTAGGGTTAATAAACAAAGGGCACTCCTAAATGGCAGATAATTGAGCATTGCGACTGCAGAGGCATGATCTATACACCAAAACCGTTATTAAGCTAAAGTTGTTTTGGTGACCATAGTGTTCCTTAAATTCAGTTCAGCAGATTTTTGTAAAGAAACATTATCAGGACGAAGGAGAGAGAGAAACTCCTACATACACGGGAAGTGAAAGGTTTGTGTTCCCTTTGGCTCTATGCCTCATCTAGCTTACCATTTCCTGCACTGGGAGGAGGCAGAGTGACAGAGGTCACACAATTCCATGCAAAACAGGAATAAGGCATCCATTTGAGACGCACACTTGTAACAGTTACAATTTTTTTTTTTTTTTTATTCTTTATTTTGAAAGATTTAGTTTTTTTCTGGGGTGGGAGTACAGAAGAGAAAACAGGGAGTTAGAGTTTGTAGTACATATTTCGCATCACATACATATGCTCTTTATGGCAGTCAAACAGTTCAGGCGTGTTTATCAATTGTTTGTCGGTAAAATCTATATGCGTTACTTTCAAGTAAACATTTTGTGCATTCTTGTCGATATTTGTTATTCCTTTTGGTCTTGGTTTTGGGGTGGGGTTCAGAGATGAGAGGGGTGGGGGGGGGTTAAGGTACCTTTTTATTAGTAATGTGAAGCATGCATTATGACAATAGTAGGTGTTTGTATTTGAGTGTGCATTGCCAGGTTCAGTGGTATTGTCTTGTAGTGTGGGTAAGGTATAAGAGGATCAGGATAGTTATCGTGTATCCTCTCTATATATCTGTGGTTCCCATACATTTCGCATGTGAGTGCAGTCGATTCGATAAGGGTGGCTTGTGTTGTCGTGCTAGTACACAACTTCTGTGTTCATAACAGTCTTTCGTATTTGTTTCGATCTTGGGGTTAGGGTGGGGGTATGGAAAGGGGAGAGGGATAGGGTTAGGGTAATCTAACGTGAGCTTTGGTCGTCCGGAGTTTTTCGTTTAGTTTTGTCATGTAGCTAAGTGAATTTACTGTTGTGGTTTTGTGACTGTTGTATGATTTCTGTTTGTTCTCTGTGGGGATGTTTCTCGCGGTGTTCCATGCGGTGTGTGATGTTTATGGTTTGTCATCTGTTCGTGTGGGGAGGGAGGTGTGTTGAGGTGGTGGAGGGGGGTAAATAAGTGTCAGGTTCTCAGTCCCCTCTATGGGGTTGACCTCTGGATTTTTGGTATCCGTGTTGAGTTTAATAGTTTCAGTGTATGTTAGTTGTTTTTTGGTTGGATGAGTATGGTCGGTTGGTGTCTTCCCCTCTGGAGGGGGGCATATTTTACCGGTGTTTGTCGGTGGTGGGATGGGTTTTGTCTGCTGTGTGACCCAGTGCGGGGTTTGTTTTGCTTTCATGGCGCTGATGGAGGAGTGTCAAGTGTCAGGTGTGGGTGGGAGAGGGGTTGTTGGTTGGGTGCTTGTTTGTCAGCCTTACCAGGTGTGTGTTAGGTGGTGTATGAGCCATGGATCCCAGATTTTGTTGTGGTGGTGGGTTGTGTCGTGGATAAGGGCTGGTGTCTTTTGTTTTGTGAATCACGATCTCCAGGGTGGGTGTATTTTGGTTGCTCCACTGTTCCGCAATTGTGCGTCTAGTGGCTAGTGCAATTTTTGCGAGTAGTTTGTTCTGAGATCTGATCAGTGGGGCATGGGGTTTCGAGAGCAACCAGATCCACGGGTCATGGGAAATGGCTGTGTGTAAGATTTGGGAAGCGAGGTCGGCCACGGCTGTCCATAGTTGGGATATGTGGGGGCATTCCCACCATTGGTGAATGTAGGTGCCCTGGGCTCCGCAGCCCTTTCAGCATGTATCTGTGTTGGAGCATCCCATCTGTTTTAATCGTAGGGGTGTTAGGTACCAGCGAAGCAGTGTTCTGTATGCTTGCTCCTTGTGGTTCACACAGATTGTGAGGGATGCTGTTGCTTACCAAATGTTTTCCCAATCTGAAGGGTAATTCGGGGGGCTGATGTCCCTTTTCTACGTCCTGGTGTAGGAGATTGCTTTTGTCCGGGAGGTGGAGTTCAGTTGGAGGTATATGGAAGAGATTTGGCCTTTATGTACTGGATTGTGTATGCAGTTGTGTTCGAATTAGGTTAGGTTGGCGGTCACCGTGGCTTTGTGTCGAGGGTCATTGAGAAAACTGCGGATTTGTATATATCTGAATTGGTCGAAGGTGGTTAATGGGGATTGTCTGGACAGATCTTGGAATTGGAGTAGCTGGTTGGCTCTAAAGAAATGGAAAAAGCGGAAGAGTCTGTTGTCTTCGTAGTGTGCGAAGTCTTGGGGTGTCATACCCGAAATTGTTTGTTGCGTAGGATTGGGGTGAGTGGAGATGGTTTGTTGAGTTTGTTGATGATAGGGGTTTTGCGAGTGACTTTGTCCCACACTAGGAAGGATGTTTGTAGGGTCGAGGTCGTTTGTGGGGTGTCCGGTCTAAGTTGTTTCGGGAGCCAGAGGAGTATTGAGGGGTGGTCTCCGCCCATTAAGTCATGTTCCAGGTCAGCCCAGAGTTTTGTGCCTGGTGGGGCGTGTAAATGTTGTATCTGTGCTAATTAGGCAGCTTGATAAGAATTATAAAAGTTTGGGTGTCCGAGACCTCCGGTTTTGGTGGTTTGATACATTGTGGATCTTTTGATTCTGGGTTTTTTGTTGGAAAATATGAAATTGTCAATTTTGGTTTGAAGTAGTTCGAAGTCTTTTCGGGATATTGGGATGGTGATGGTTTGAAAAAGATAAAGGAATCTGGGGAGCAGATTCATTTTTACGGAGGCTATCCTTCCCAGCCATGATATTTGCATGGTGTCCCATTGTTGGATGTCTTTGTGTGCTTGTTGGAGTAGGGGTGTGTAGTTTACTTTGTATAGAGTAGAGAGGTGCACGGGGAGGAGTATACCGAGGTATCGGATATTGTCTTCCCTGTAGGTTTTGAGCTGTCTCAGAGTTGGTTCTTTGATTTCTAGTGGTAGGGCTTCGGTTTTATCTAGGTTTAGTTTATACCCCGAGAGGGTTACGTTCTCGTCTAATAGTGCAATTAAGGGTGGAAGGGATTGTGTAGGTTTCGTGATCGTCAGTAATAGGTCGTCCGCATAGGCTGCTATTTTGTATTCGTCTCTGTTTATTTTGAGGCCATGTATTGATGGGGAGTTACGTATTTTTTGCAGAAGGGGTTCTAAGTAGAGGGCGAATAGGAGCGGTGATAGTGGGCAGTCCTGTCTCGTGCTGTTGTGGATTGTGATTGTCGTTGATGTCGCATTGGGTATTAAGAGTGTGGCCGATGGTAGGTGGTATAGGATGGTTAGGGCTGTAATGAAGGGTGCAGGGAACCCGAGCCTCTGTAGGATGGTGAATAGGTAGGGCCAGAGAAGGCGATCAAATGCCTTCTCTGCGTCTATGGAGAGGAGGGGGGTCGGGATCTGTCTATGATGGGCCACCCACATGAGGTCCAGGGTACGTCTAGTGTTGTCGCTTGCCTGTCAGGAGGGGATAAATCCCACTTGGTCAGGGTGAATCAGTTTCGGGAGGAAGGGTTGCACGCGGTTTGCCAGAAGTTTAGTAAATATTTTGGTGTCTATGTTCAGGAGGATATGGGCCTGTAGTGTCCTGGGTCGAGGTGCGTCTTGTTTGGATTTGGGAGGAGGCATATGTTCGATCTCAGCATGCCGTCTGGTAAGGTGTCCCTTTGCAGAAGTTAATTGAATAGTGTGGCTAGGTGGGAAGTAAGAATGTCAGGGAATGTTTTATAGTAGAGGCCCGTGGATCCATCTGGTCCCGGGCTTTTGTGTGGTTTGATTGTCTTTAATGTGTATGCTATTTCATCTGTCATGATCGGGGCCGCGAGTTGTGTTTTTGCTTCGTCGGGCAGCGTTGGGAGGGGGATTACTTTAAGGTATGAGTCTTTGGCTCATTGAATGATTGTTTGGTGGTGGTGGGCTTCCGGTTTATGGTCGTAAAGTTTTGTGAAGTATTTAGAGAAGATTGAGGCTGTGTGGTCAGGAATGTCGTATGTTGTGCCTTTGGGCGAGTTTATCTTGTCTATCTGTTTTGTTTGGGTTCTAAGACGGAGTTTGCACGCAAGAAGGGAGTCTGCTTTGTTGGATTTATCATAGAAGAGTTGTTTGGTCCATAGGAGTGCCTTTTGGGAGTCTTTGGACATGTATGTTTCAATGTCTTGTTGATGGGATTTGATTTGTTGGAGAATGTCTGCGGTCGGGTTTGTTTTGTGTTGGTCTGTGAGGGTCCATATTTGGAGTAGGTGGTGTTCTAGTTCTGCCACTTTTTGTTTTTTTGAGTCTGGTAGCTTGTTCTATTAGTTTCCCTCTGGTTACCGTTTTGTGCGCCGCTCATAACGTGCCCATTGAGGGCACTGAGTCTTTATTATCAGTGAAATAGTTCCCTGGTTCGGTGTGTATGATCTTTCTTATGTCCGGGTTATGGAGTAGGGTGGGGTTTAGGTGCCATGTCCATGTCCGAGTCGTGAGAGGGATCTTCAGTTCGAGTGATATGTCTGCATGGTCTGACCATGCTATGGTACCTATGGAAGTTTTTGTGGTCAGGGGAAGTAGGGAGGGGGAGATTAAAAACATGTCAATTCTAGAGTATGAGGAATGTGGGTGTGAGTAAAAGGTGAAATCTGGTATGTTGCAGTCTCCAAACGTCTTGGAGGCCGGTGTGGAGTGCAAATTCTGCTAGTGATTTATCTAGTTTACTGGGGTAGTTGGTAGATTTGGTTTTGGTGGTCGTGGTACATTTACGATCTATAGGAGGGGTCATCACTGCGTTGAAATCTCCCTCTAGTATTAGGTGGGCCTTGAGGGTCGTCCAAAAGAGCGGATCTGGTTTGTTGGGCGCGTAGATGGTTGTGATTGCATATCTGTGGTTCCCCAAGTTACCTGTTATTGTCAGGAATCTGGCTTGTGGGTCTGCTATTGTGTTTGTGAAGGTTATCGGGCATGATTTGTGTAGTAGTATTGCCACCCCAGTGTATTTGCCGGTTTGGGAGTTTGCTAGATGGCATGTCGTGTAATGTTTGTTTTTAAGGAGGAATGGTCTGGAATCTTTGTAGTGTGTCTCTTGGAGGAGGATTATGTCTGCTTTCGTACGGTTTGCCCAGCGCATCAGTTGATGCCATTTAGCCGGGTTGTTTAGGCCATTGCAGTTAAGTGATATACATGAGATTATCCTAGGCACGGTGTGTAGTGTGCGTACTTCGGGGTATGTGGTGGAAGGCCTGCGGGTCTGGTTCTTCTTATTTAAAGAGGGTTGGGGGTGGGGGGGTGGGTTGTGGGATGGTCGCTAGGGTGGATGGTAAAGGGTTGGGATGATGGGAGTGGGGAGTGAAGGGGTGGTTGTGGTGTGGATGGTTCCTGATCTTACAATCCAGTTGCCAGGCGTGTTGGAGGGGTTGGTGGTGCCTGCGGATTAGGGCTGTATGCGTATTGTACCCCTTAGGGGTCTGTCAGTGTGTGTGTGTTTCCGGGAGAGAGGAGGAAGGTTTTCACGTTCCAGTTACCTCTCCCCACCAGCACATAGTGTAGAGTCAGGTTAAGTAAGTTCGTGTTGGTACTCTGTTGTATAGGCCTGCACCCTGTGCTGTCGGAGCGAATGTGGCAGGCTGAGGTTCGCTGGAGTGTGGTTTCCACGTGGGGGGGTAGTGGGTGAAGTCCAATATCTTGTCCGGAGTTTTTGGCTTGAGGCTGGTGAGTGATTTTCAGGCTGGTGAGTGATTTTCAGGCAGTTGTGTCGCTTATTGCGGTTAATGAGTTGACTTCTGTGTGATTTTTGGGTGAGTTCCTTCTTTTTTTTCCTCCGCCCATGATATTATATGTCGGGTATGGTATGTTGTACCATTGGAGTATGTTTTCGGGGTTCAGATACAAAGGGGGTTGCCGATGTTAGCTGATGAGAGTGCTATGGGGAGAGGGAGCTAAGGAATCAAGTGTCCATCTTCCTTCACGTTCAGGCTCCGCCCCCAACAGTTACAATTTTTTTTGGCAAAGATCAGAAAGGTTTAAGATGTAACTTAAGAGATCCCTGTCATTTTATGACCTTTCTACTTTTCTTAATTTTCAAATACAACTCATATTTTTTTTTCTTTGTTAGTCTGATTTACTAATATTTCTCAAGTAAAACCTCCTCAATATAAATTACCAATATTTTAACAAATTGTACGTTTAAGTTACTGTAGTTGTGGGTTATCATTGACTGCCAATATAGCCTGCTGCCCAGTGCGTAGTATTAAATGGATACTATAGGCACCTAGACCACTTCATTATTATTATTATGATATGTATAGAGCGCCGTCAAATTCCGCAGCGCTTTACAATGGGTGGACGAACAGACATGTAGTTATAACCAGACA